AAATACTCTGTAGGACCTCTTGTTACTAACTCTGGGCAAATATTCCAAACTGGATATCAACAAATCAGAGATCTGTAGACTGAGCTACAAACTGGGGGGAAGATTGTTTGAATTCGTACCTTACTGTCTCTTCAGAACAAACATGTCCACATGGTACAAAAGCATGTGTTGCTGCGGGTTTGCCTTGGTAGAATGCTGGCTCTCTTCCAAGGCTTAATGGAACATAACTGCTGGCCTGATTTTAACAACAATCAATATTAAGATGGATTCCGCACAAAGTTCGAGCAATAAGTGCAAAATGTTTTACTAAAAATCTCCTCACAGCACTGTAACTTTCTGAATACCATTTAAAACATCCCACAGAGTGTAATTCATTTCTCTAGGTGACTTCCTGATTAAATCCCCAAGCATTCTCAAGAAAGTTGATGTCAAACCTCGTAAGAATGCTTAATGCACATGTTATTGTGTTTTCAACTAATGCAAAATGTCTGTTGTAATTGAAATGTGGATAACTTCAAGTTCAATTTTCTCTCACTGGGTCAGCTTGAGTCTCCATAAGTTCTCCTTACCTTTATTCAAAATGTTACCATGCTATGAGATTTTTTGATAACTTAGTTTTTGCCATTATTGCTCAAATGTTCTGTGGAAATCATCTTAAGTAACACTGAAGTAAATAGGGCACTAGCTGTGATACAGTTTTGCTACTTTGTCGCATCCATCACATCACAGTTATTATTATCTCAGCTACTGTAACCATGTGGTTATTTCCAACCTCTTTGTGAAATTCTGTTTGCCGGAGCCAAGAAAGCCGGTGGCTATCAACTAAGGAGTTCTATTGACGAAACTAGAATTGCAGTCACATATGTAACCATGTGTGTAAAACAAATGCAAATGAGGTTGTTCCTCATTGATATGATATGATATGAAACATTAGTATGAAAGTCTATAAGCAGCATCTGGACTGGAGATGCCAAGTGGTTCATCCATGCTGGTGTTAATCTATGGCTTGATTCTGCAGCATGGAGATACATGGTTTATTGCTAAACCCTCCTAGATGGGATGCTGGTGCACTACAGGTACCCTGCCCAACCCCTGGCAGTTTGTCTGAGGCTGCCCTAACAATTTCACAGCTTTCATTTATCTTTCTTTATTAAGAGAGGTACTGTGAGAGTGAGGTGCAAGAACACAACACAATGACTCTGGCCAGGGTTTGAACCCATGTCCCTTGATCTGGAGCACAATGGGCACCCTACAGGTAGACCATGAGGTGACCACACCTCCAAAAGTTCTTCTTTGGAGGATTCTGGTTATCGAAAAAGACGATAGCTCTCCTACATACCTGTAAACAGACTGGACATGTCCTTTTATCAGCAGCATTCCTCTCGGGTGAATTCCATGTGTGAAGACCATGCACATGGCCACACTTGAGATATACATACGGCTGAGCACTGGCCACACTGCTGCCAGGCTGCTACAAATAAAAATAAAACATGGCTAGGAAAAAATATTGAACAATAAATTCTGGTATAATAGGGATGCTGTACAGATATTCAAGATCACCATAAGTTTCCAATTAAGCACCAATTGAAGAAGCTAGTCATAAAAGGGGATAAGTGACGATTTTGGTCGCTTTTCTTTTTTTTTGCTTCAATTAGCTGAATTTTTGCATGCGGTCTTCACTGTAATAGAAAAACGTGGTCCTGTATTTTTGCTGCTGGTTTTTGCTTCACTTTATAAAGACGCCACTAGGAAAACCGAGTGGTTTTTTGCATATGCAATATCCTGAAAATGAGGTAAAGTTTAGCAGAAAAACTACGGGACATTGCTAAACATACCTAAACAAAACTGCATGCGAAATTTGGAGCATTTTCGACAAAGTTCACTTTTGAGAAAAATACCCAACGCCCTTTTTCAGTCAAGCCCTTCAGATAAACGAAGCCAGGGCCTTTGTTCTGATAAGCAGAGCTGATCCTCTGTTATATTAAACCAAAGCGAGCCTTTGTTATTAGTCAAAGTCTCACCTCAGTTTATTATAACAAAGGATCGGCTCAGTTTATTATAACAAAGCCCGGTTTCGTTTATGTGGAGNTGTTATATTAAACCAAAGCGAGCCTTTGTTATTAGTCAAAGTCTCACCTCAGTTTATTATAACAAAGGATCGGCTCAGTTTATTATAACAAAGCCCGGTTTCGTTTATGTGGAGGGCTCAGTGGAAAATGGGCATTAGGTATTTTGCTCAAAAGTGAACTTTGTCAAAAAAGCTTCAAATTTTGCATGCGTTATTTTTTAGGTGCATTAAACAATGTTTTGTATGTGTTTTTGCTGAGGTTTGCATCATTTCTGAGACATTACGTATGCAAAAAACTTATATTTGTTGCCACGTCAGTGCGTGACCGCAAAGATGTTCATTTCACTTAAAATACAGCAAAATGTTGATTTTTCTTGCAACGCATTACCTTAAAAATATATTAATTTCAGCTCAAAAACAGTTAAAAGGTTGATTTGACATTAATGCGTGACAGCAAGGATGTTGATTTCACTTAGAAACCAGCAAAATGTCAATTTCACGCAACGCATAAGCTCAATGACGTTGATTTCAGGTCTAAATAGGTTAAAATGTTGATTTGATGCAAACCCGTGACCGCAAGGATGTTAATTTCACTTAGAAAACAGCAAAATGGTAATTTCACGCAACACATGAGCTCAATGATGTTGATTTCAGGTCTAAATAGGTTCAAATGTTGATTTGACGTTAACGCATGATGGCAAGGACGTTGGTTTCACTTAGAAAACAGCAAAATGGCAGGAGGCCATGATGGGCTCCTGAAAATGGTAATTTCACGCAACGTATAAGCTCAAAAATGTTAATTTCAGGTCCAAAAAGGTGTAAATAAAAATAAAACAAAACAAATAAAAGCATTTCAATAAGCACTTTTCCAAATACGGCAACGTCTTAAATGGCTAAAAATCATGAGATAAATACATAGTTTTCGACAAACGCGATCGTAGCTTTATG